GATATTGACTGAGATCGTACATCTTTTGTTTTTTTTTCTAAATATAAAAAATCATGTGATATGACATCATTTCGACTATTTCACGACTTTAGCCTCCAATGGTCGAAATGATTTCGACTATTTCAACCATTTCGGATATCCAAAATGATCCATTTCGACTTCATGTATAGTTAAAGCAATAATTTTATGACTAATTTTAAATTCATCAAGGATTGTTAAAAACTTGCTTGTAATTAAATCTGCTGAATGTGATCCATGTAATGGTATTAAATCTAGTAAAAAATTTTTTATTTTCCAATCATTATTAATAAATGAATGATAATACTAAGATAACATTCTTTTGAAATTTCTGATATTCAAATATCTGTTGTAAAAGATATTTTAAACTTGATTTTTGAAATGTTATCTATTAAGTGCTTTCTTCTTTCATCAAATTCTAACATAAAATTCATTTTTAAGGTTCGTTTGCATGGTATTTCATAACGTAAATTTAATTTTTTGATGAAATTTTAAATTGAGGATTCTTAACAATAGAGAATAATTGCATATCTGCAGCAAAAAGTCAACAAGAAGTTTGGTTATTGGTTTAGATTCTTTTTTGGAATAAGACTTATACCTTAAATCTTTTAAGATGGTTTGCCTGGATTCAGGTTTTTGATATCTCATTAAATGTTTGTTACTAAGGTGATGCCAAAGGGATGTTGTTACATTGCCAGTTGCATATGTTTGTATACACAATGTACATTTATATTCTGTTACAACATTATTTTATGAATTGTGAATTTTTTCAAAAAATTCCCACACATTTGAAGAAACTGTGAACTTTGAAGTTGGTATATCTTCCTCTCTTGCTAAAGAATTGGAAGAATATATAGATTTATTATCATTATTTGGAAAATTTATTTCACATGACATTCAATATTACGCCAAAAAATTAGGCTGGTTAGGCTAAAAATGATCAATGTTATGATGCGTTATTACGTGTTGTGTAATTTTATATAAGATTGATTTAGGATCGGTCTTAAGGATCAATCCAGTCCAATCTGATTTGATCCAATCTCAACCTTCAGATTGGACCGAGATTGGTCTTATGATTGGATCGTGATCTAGACCGTCTTTCTGAGATCGTTAACATCTCTAGTTATTAATAATAATATTTTCTTCTTCTCCCTTTTTTCATGTTTTAAAAATATATTTTAAGTTTTTTTAATTAATAAGTTCAGCACTTTGGTCAAACTAAATAAGCGAAACATGCATAAGTAAAGTTTTTTGATAGGTATGGAAATGTTTGCAGATTAATATTTGCAGGTCTAGATTTTTTTATGTAATATTATTAGAACATGTTTTATTTTTTATTTTCAAGGCGTAATTGGAACATATTGGTCAAAGAAAACAAATAAAAGAAGCTTAAGTAAAGTTGTTCAGCGGTATGGAAATACTTGCACAATAATTTTCATGGGTTTATCTTGAATGGTTGTGGAGTTATTGATTTTTTGTGATAATACCAAAGCGTGTTTTTTTACTGTTAATATAGCATTTAATAATAAAATAAAATATAATTATTAATTCTAACATTGATTTTTTTTGGCATATAAAATTCAAATAAATTTTCATTTTAATAAAGCTTTGTATTTCCAAGATTAAAACAGTTACTTTTTACAATTGTTATATTAAAATATTAAAGTAATTTCATTATGTTTATTGTTAAAAAATCTTTATTTATTCTTTATTGTTTTAGAGTGCATAAAAATACAGAATATTTTCTATTTTTTAATATTTAAAAGTCCGCGAAAATATAGAAATTTTTTGTTCTTTTTAATTTTTAGAAGTGTGCGAAATGCGAAATATTTTCTCTTAGATAAATGTTACACGAAAATATAAGGGGGGTCTAGGATATTATCCTATAGAAATTGCAAAAAAAAATATATTTATATATAAATATAATTATAAGATACAAAATTAAATTAATTAAAAATTTAATATAAAAATTATTAAATTTATTAATATAAATATAAATTTTTTAAATAATGATGTTGGAGAAGTTTATATTATTAACGCACATTCAAGAGTATATAAACACAATTTATTTGATTATTTTTAATATTAAATTAATTCTTAACTAATTGTACCTTTTTTTACATTTAAAGTATTTGCAAATAAATTATTTATAAAAATAGTTTAAACTTATTTATTTTTTTTATCTATTGTGATTTCTCTCGTATCTAAATCAAAAAATTTTTTTTTTGTCTAAATCCTCTGATATAATTATAATACCATAAATCTAAAGGAAAGTTACCCAATACCTTATATCTTTTTTATTTTAAAGTTGTTTATTGAAAGATTAATTAAGAAGAACATCCACACCACTATCACAAGGAGCATTATGGTTCAAAATATATATGTAATGAGGACCGGGAGCGATAATCGTAGGATTTGGAGGTAATTTAAGAGATATAATGTATTGATCAGCGACTGATTCATCAAGATAAAAACTTTCAATGTCAAGGTAAACATAACGCTGATTCATATTTGTTGAGTGAGTGACGAATCCATGATGTATAATAGCCGCTTTTAATATAGGTAGAAGATCAGATGATTCAATTTGTACAACTAATGTGATTACTTCATCATAAAATACTTGAATTCTTTGTTGATTAATTGGAAGGTCTTGTAAAGAAATAATATTTGGACGAGGCGTCGTTGTATAAAGATAAGGTGGAGTGAAAATCTCAACACGGTATCTAAATGAAAGATTAAAATTTAAAAATTTTCATTTTAAAAAAAAAAAAATAAATTAAATTAAATTAAATAAATAAATAAATCGAGTTTACTCACTCAGTCGGAAATTTAACGTCTAATGAGACAGTGTTAGATGGATTACTTCCAGCGACCAGGACAGTACCATCAGGTAACAAAGTAGCAACAGAATGATACACTCTAGGTATGTATGACGAAGCAAGAGCTTTATATGTTTTAGCAACTGGATCATAATGGGTAGGGAATAATACGGGATTTTCAAAAGTAAATAGAGAATTTGCTCCTTGACCTTTACGAAGACCAGCAAAACCAGTTCCAGCACCATTAACGAATAAGATGGTTCCATCCACTAGAAAGGTTGCATCAGGCATAACACGTGGTGTGCCACCGAAATCATCCATTTCCCATTCCGCATTTTCTGTAGTTAATTCTAACCTTCCACAACTAGCTTCACTTATTGATTTAATTTCACGATCTTTATTACCACCACAAATCATAACTGTCGGTTTATAATTATCAACCGATGAAAGTGGTAACATAATTGAAGTACCAGTTAAAGGATAAGATCGAAAACCACCCGGCATTTTTGGATATGTTTTAACAACTTGACCGGTACCAAGATCAAAAGCAATGCTTTCTTGACTAGCGAATACAAAAATAAGAGCTTTTCCCTCATCATTTGGAATTAAATGTAACATTGGATAAAGGTTATTTGGTAAGGTGGTAGTTAAAAAGTCGAATTCATGATCTTGCATAACTCCATTTGGAGGTGGATAGATTGAATAAGTTGGATTATTTATATCAGCTCTATTAACTCCTACGGCTTTAGTTGAGCCCCCGAGAATCATTATATTACCATTAGGTAAGGTTATCATGGTAGGGTACCACCTATTTGATGGTAAAACTCCTTCTAATTCAATCCAATCCCCAAAGCCTTGATCATATACGCGAATTGTTTGTAAACCACTACGATAATTAACATCATCTCCAGTACTTCCTCCCGCTTCAATTAAAGTTCCATTGGCTAAGAACGAACCAGCTGAACAGAAAGTATTTGTATAAACCGAGAGAGGTCTAACTAGATTTGTATCTAAATCATATTCTGATGATATAGCAGCAAGCCCGTCTGGTTTCTTTAAATGATTTTGTTCAACTAGGTAAATTAAGAGGGAAAGAATTATAAATATTTATGATGATATCCAAATTAACTAAATTAAGACGAAATAAATATATCGAATTTGAAAGTTTACGTCTGTCTATGAAGATAACTTTTCTGGGAGCTACCACGACAGCATGCATGGCACTGACTCCGGAACTATTGGGAAAGGTAATCCAGTAATAAATATCATATTAAGAGCTTATTAAGCACAAGAAAACGTTTTAATCACTTACTCTCCAACAACTTTCCATGTTCCGAGTGTAGTATCAGCAGGTTCTTGGCGTTCTAACAAGGAAGAATTAAAATGGAGTTTATTAATCAGTATCGAAGAAAAAATTTAATGGTGATGATGTATTTGTTGGAATATTAAATTAGACAACCACCTCGTAGAGAAAACGACGCAGGTAATGCATTTACATTAATCTGGTCAATTAATAAAATTAATACTCCAACGAGGAATATAAATAAAAATTTAACTCTCATTTTTTTTTTAAAAAAAAAAGGATTATTATTAAGTCATTTGATTATTACCTTTATATATCTAAGGTAAGATTTTTTTGATTATAAAAATAAAAATATAATTTTAGATGATTGTTACAATTAGAAAATTTGTATCCCCAACCCAAAATAATATTTATAAATAATTTAAATTTTTTAATATAAATAGAAATCCAAATTTTCTATCAGGTCATGCAAAAATTTTATAATCGTATGACTTACGTGTAACAAATTATCATTCGCCAGTCTATTCTTGGAAGTGGCAAAAAAGTTATTGGAAGGAGAGAATGAAAGAAGCCTTTGGTGCGTTTTTTTTTTATTTTGCAAAGGAAGGGTAACTCCTCAGGAATGGTGTTGGTATTTTTTATCTTGGATATTCCATTCTTGAAAGCTGGTTAATTTACCAACACTACTACTGGGTTACTCAGGAGAATTACTTAGTTGACAAACTTGGTATCCACTCCAAGCTCTCAATTCAGGCGCCCTAGCTTTGTTGTTGGTAAAGGTCTGCCGGTTCTGGAGGAGGAACCGGCTATATACCTAACGTGAAAGATTTGCGAACATTTTGGCAGGGAGTGATCGAAGAATGTGGAAAAGTAAGTAAAAAGTAAATATATTATATATATTATGAAATTCTTGTGTAAGTATAATTTACTTATTTATTACATAGAACCCAAAAAAGAAAACTGGTTGAAGATAAAGGAAATATTCGACCATCAAAGAAGAACCGAAGTGATATTACTCTTGTGTTGGGATGTGCCTGCTACTGAACATTCTAATAAAGAGGACCACGAACCCTGTGGCATTAGTTGGATAAAATATAGGCGGTAACGCTTCTATACGGCCTGAAGTGATCCCTCTATCCAAATTTGGCAAAACCCGGGCTGCTAGAAGTATCTGTACAAAAGCTCCCTCAAAAGGTCACACAGGGTCTATTCTAGGAACAATCCTTCACCATTGGCGAGTTAAAGGATCTTTTCAAAGAGAAAATTGATACTCCTGTCACAGCAAAAGACATTAAACTTTGGAAGATCGAAATACCAGATAATCATGATGATGAATTAGCAAATTTCTCTCTTCAAGACCGTGATATGCTTCCTGCATTGGGCTTATACAGCAGCCATGGAATCCATAATGGAATATTAACGCTTCTTGGAGAAAGGACAAATCCTTAGCAGAGAGATATATGCGCACCGTCTTCATCATCGATTTCATTTATGAAGACGTCCATTATTAATTTACCGCTACTAGATCAGCTCCAGATTCTTTCACGCTTTACTTGAATGGATCAATTCTGTTCGATGGTGGGTTATTAGTTTTGTTAGACGGAAAAGCGATACTTGTTATTTTCGCGAAGTTGTTCAAGGAATATGATTGATGATTTACAGTAATACTTGTTTACTTGAACAAGAAAATGATCCAACACAACTTCGTTCACTCTCTCCTGGAAAGCTTGTGAGAATATTGGT